CCCCCCCCCCCCTCTCTCTCTCTCTTTCCTTCGCGAGAATTCCCGATGAAACTTCCCGGTCGGCACGACGTCGCCGTCGAACACAATTACCGGCGAGCTTTAACGCCGCTCGGTGACGTTACGCGTCTGATGCGAAAATGCGAAAATTCGCAATCGAGTCGAAGTCACGCGATCACAGGAAACGTCCAAAAAGGTGACGCGCGCGCGCGCGCACGGTCGGAGCTGCTCGTTCGATCGGAAATCGGCTCTTCCCCTTCGGAGGGCTCGTGTTTCCAAACGAGGAGCTCGCGATCGTATGCGCGAGGGAGGATGTCGAGCAGAAAGCCAAGGTGTTAATGCACGTACGCGGAGGAGGATGGAGGATTGCGAAAGAGTTCCGTGAGAAAGGGGGGGGACCAGGTGGCCTAGACAATAATGGTTACGTTTATCGATACTGATAAACATACCGCGAGCTTGCACGGCAGCGTTCGGTAGAAATTGGAACGACCTCGAGAATCCGGAGGGGCGCGCCGAGGTCGAGGAGCGGAGATTTGTTTCCCTTCGTTCCTATCGCGCCGTTGCTTACCTCTCTCTCTCTCTCTCTCTCTCTCTCTCTCTCTCTCTCTCTCTCTCTCCCCCTCTCTCGCCGACTTTTCACTTTGAAAAAGTGAACTACCGTGTCGCTCGGCTTCTTCTCGGCGAGTCGTTTCGACCGGGCGGTAATTTAAAAAAGGAATAAAGCCCCCGCTCGCTCGCCAGCCTCTCGCCGGAGCGCGGATTAAATTAACATTGGCGAACCGCGAACGAGAGAAGAGCGCAAGTGCGCGTGGCTCAATAAAATAAAACGCAGCCGCGTTAATTCGCAAACTTTTCGCAACTACCCCTGGCCCCGTTCGCCTGTAACGTAAACCGCCGTTTAGCCACCGTTGCAACAAACGAGCAACTACACGCACGCTCCGGACTATTTCGTTAATCTATAAAACTTTCCGACCATCCCCCTTCCCCCAATCCCGCCCCCAAGGCCGCAAACCTAACCGCAAAGTAATCCCGGATAGTTACTAACGGGTAGTACCGTAAACAGCCGGCCGTTCCGCCGCGATTCATCTTCCTCAGCGGCTGCGGGGGTACGTGAGAGAAACGCGATAAAGGTGAATTATCGGGAAGCCGGAGGAGAACGCGGAACGGTCGAGCGCTCGACGCGGACTTAACTCGTAATAATATCGGACGTCTCACTGTGTGTGCTCCGTCGAACTCCCGATTGCGTAATCACCCCCCGATAAATCGCGTACCTTCCTGTCGAGCGCGCGGACAGATCGCCGGGTTTCACCCGCGAACCGTCCGCTCGCGATCGTTCCAATCTCGAGCCATGCCCGCCGTGGTGAAATTTTGCCGAATACACCGAGGAGGATCGTGTACAACGAGGGGACACCGAGAACGGGTAGTGGTGGGTGTATCGATCTTCAGACAGGTGAAACGGAAATTCATCGTACGTATATATGTTTGTTACCGGGCAGGAGTGTACGTGGTGGAATGAGAGGAGGGTGGTGGTGGTGGTGGTGATGGTAATAATTGTGATGATGATGATGATGACGGTGGTGATGGTAGTGGTGGTGGTCGTTGTGGTAGTGATGGTCGAGAGAGAGAGAGAGAAAAGGGTGCGGGAGAGGGCGGATCACGAAAAACAAAAGACTTACGGCGTCTGCCACGAGGTGTGCGGGCGGGAGGGCTGCCTGCAAGTGTCCACTCTTCAGCAGGGGGTCGGCGAGGCCTGCCACGCTGGCGTGTAAGGGGTTCGGGTGGAGAGGATGATGTGGGGTCGTAAGGTGGGCCGTGGATAGGAGCGGGTGCCCGTGAGAAGCGGCGAAGGCCGAGGACGAGGGGTGGGCCGCGAAGGGCGAGGTCGTCAAAGTTTGGGTGTTCAGCGAGGGCGGGGTGGGCCCGGCAGCGGGCGCGGGCAATGGTAATACTGTACTTACGTCCGAGTGGGCGGGCACCGCGTAATTACCCTGGATGGTGTAGGCTTGCCCACCAGCCAGGATCACTGGCCCACCGACTTGGGGTTTGGGGCGATAAGGGATCGTGGCACCTTTGGGAGGGGACTGAAACAGAAAGAAACACACGCACGAATGCGAATACACCGAGATCGTGGCCACTGCGGAGAGAGGATTGTGATGCGGCGTCATCCGTCTCTCGTCGTCATGAGAGGTCGGGTATATATCTTGTGCTTGTCCTATTAAAGTCTTGAGAGAAGTGACTCGTGTGTCGGGGAACACATCGGCTTCGTGTCCTTCTTGCGACAAACAAGGAGACACGCTGTGTGTACGCTCTGTTTCGCCCAAACGGACTGCACTTCGTGGATGACGAAGAGTCGGAGCGTGGCCTCGTAATTATAGTTAACATCGATTCATTTTAGACTTTAATAGGCTGACCTGGTTCGCCATAGTTCGCCGCTGGTGCATCGATATTCTCGCGTCCTCTCGCATACTTAACATTTTACTGGTTTCCCGGGGACAGATTAGGTAACTGCACGGCAGGTCGGGCAGAGAGTGCCGACAAAGTTTGACGCGAGAGGCAAACACTCGCGCGTTCGAGCACAGTTATTATCATATATATTGCGAACATAGCGTAAGGCCGGAAATTGTTCAGGTGTGCCCGCGCGCTTGAACCATCGTTCTTCCGCCGAGACTGAATCGATTGACGCCGCTCTAAGTATCGCGTTTAAGTTTTAACAGTCGGGACGAGCGCGGCAATTATTCATCGGGGGCGCATATCTCGGTATCGATGCAAACAGTTCCAACGATGTATCTTTAAAGGAATCGAACGCTCGTTTATTACGATCACGCCGATGGCACGAACTCGTTCCCGGATTCCGGGAGGAACGATCGTAGACATAGACGGGATAGACCGAGCAATGCCGATGGAGAGCTGAAACCGAGATGGAGAGACGAAGATATGTTAACAGTGCAGCTTTCTCTGTCACACAGTACTGTAGGAGGGGGCGATGTAGGGGAAACAGAAGAGTGAGAGTGGACATGGCGAAGGAAAGAGAGGAATATTATGTATCTGACTGCGTGAGAAGGCACACGAACAGTAACATCAGTGTGTGTGCACTCGCAGTTATTAGTTTATAATACTTGTAACTACGTGTCGCTTCTATACTCTTTCCTTCTCTCTACCAACTACACAATTAGACGAGGAAAGCGCCACTGTCTCCGCTGCCCTCTCTTGCCAATGCCGGGGCTTCAGCTCTCCCCAGCGGGAGTGCTCCATTCTACACGTCTATGGGGAACAACGAGCGCGAACTCGTCCGGGGAAAGTCCAACGTACGAACCACGGCGAGACCAGAGAGTAGATACGTGTAGATACAGTGCGTATGTATGACACGACAGGTGACGAAGTCTCTCGGGGCCGTCGGCGTACGTACCTCTAGCATAACGCAGCAGATATGATATATGCACTGCGTGATCGCCTCGCTGGTACCAGAAATGGTTACTGCGCGTTCCGTAGAATTCGGCAGCATTTCGGATGCGACCTGGATGGAGGCACCGGTGACCTCGCGGATCTCCTTGATCTTGGAGCCGCCCTTGCCGATAAGGGAGCCGCACTGCGAGGCCGGCACGATCAGTCTGAGCGTGATGGGCGGCCTCGAGACGCCGCCGCCGCCACCGGCACCGCCGCCCTGGATGTCGTGGAACTGAGAGCACCATTCCTCGAATTTCTTGCATATCAGCGTGAACGCCTTGAAGATCGAGTTGGTCGGTCCAGTGACAGTCACTATCCGCTCCGGGCAGGAACCGTCGGAGATATTGATCTTCGCGCCGGACTGCGAACGAAGAAATATTACCGATCGCGGGATTCCCGAGTGTATACGTAAGGGAGAGTGTGTGCTGTGTGCGCGCGCGCTAGAGAGAGAGAGAGAGACGAGCTATTTTCAACGACACGGACGTTCAACGATCGATGTCCGCGATTTTGAGGGATTTCGCCGAGCTGATAAATGTCGCTCCGACGTGGCGCGTACACTTTTTTATTTCATGTTAAGAGATTACAGAGAGTAACGTGTGACACGTCGTTCGGCGACGTGACGCGAGCAATTTGAAAGAATGATTAAGGTGGAGACGAAAAGCGCGATGACGTATCTGCGTGTCTCTGATAGCTGTGAAACCGACCGACAGGCTGGTTCTGCAAGACTGTAATAATAATTTACGTGTTTTCGTGCGGAGTATCGGACACTGTGATACGTAAAATTACGTGCGATATCGCGTGACTCGCCTCTCTCTCTCTCTCTCTCTCTCTCTTCACATCGTCGGAATATAACAAATCTCTCATGCAACAAAGACATGATTGACACTCACCTCTTCGCGGAACCTCTTGACAATCTCTCCCTTTTTCCCGATGATACTGCCGACTTCCTGCAACGAGAAAAAAATATTCCATTAGTTCGAGTATCGCACATGAAAAACTCCGATCCTCTCGTGAACTCCGTTAGATACCGGACGCGCTTTGTTACTATGGAAAAGCTCAGAGATTTTGTCCGCAGAGATACGGGTTGGTTGCGGAAAAACGAGAGAAATAGGCCAGACGCTGCNCTCTCTCTCTCTCTCTCTCTCTCTCTCTCTCTCTCTCTCTCTCTCTTCTCTCTCGCACTCGACGCCCAGTTACCGCAATAAAAGATGTAATTGGTAAATACAATTATACCGGCTATGTCGAACCATCGCCTCAAACGAGCGGTGATCGCGGGCAACGTTTTTTTTTCCATTGCGACACGAATAAGCGAGCCCGGACGATGTAACTGTGTCGGTCTGTTAAGTGCGTTAATACATAGGCATCGGTCCCGTCGGCCTGCGACGGGATAAGTCCACGTACGAGGAAGCGGCGGTAAGACGCGTGCGAGACGAACGAACGTCGCGGCCGAATTGGCGCGAGAGTGCCTATAATTAGCATCGAGATGCACAAGTAACCGATGTCCACCCAGACGCTCCTCCACGTCGTCCGCCCTGACACTGTCTGACCTCAAGATAATGTCACTGTTAGAGTCTTCTGGACGAGCAGGTATGCGCCTCACCGCCGCTCCCTCTAAACTTAGACGACGTTCCCCCGGACGAAATGCCAACGTCCCTTGGACGAGTTGACGAGTTTCGTCGCTGGGTTCTCGCCATCTCTCTCTCTCTCTCTCTCTCTCTCTCTCTCTCGCTCCTTCTTTCCGCTCGCAAGGACCAAAGTTCCACGCGTGGAGAAACATTTCCGAACAGTTTACTTTCGAAATTTACTCGCAAAAATTAAAAAAAAATATCGAGAATTCCGCATAATATAAATAATTAACAAACATTCGATATCATCGACGAGATGGAGTTGTCATTTCACTCTCCTCCCTCTCGACGTTTCACAATTTCTGATGGCTGTCAATACCGCTGATCAATCGTGTCACGCCGAAAATTGTGGATTCACTGACGCCGCAACAAACAGGCACGCGAAGATCGCGTGTTTACCGTAGGGGGGG